GAGCGACGTCGCCGGTACGACCGATCTGGGCGGCGCGTGAGTTTGGCGGCGGCGCGTGAGTTTGGCGGCGGCGCGTGAGATCGGCGGCGGCGCGTAGGTTGTCAAATGAGTTCCTGCGTTATGCTGTTCTAGTCGCCAGAAACTCCAGATCTTCAGGGTGTGGGCTGTGAGAGCTTCGGAGAAGTAGAACGGAGGAGATCTGCAAATATGTGAGTGAGCTGCAGGAAGGGACGGTGGCGCGTGAGGGCGCGTGGTAGCCTCCGTGCCGGTACTGTTCCGTTTGGTTGGTCGCGATAGTATGCTGAGCAAGGCGGTAGGTGTAGATCGGATATTCACTACCGGAAGTGTGCTCCAGCACCAATCGCAACTACTGTTCAAAGCCGGAAATTATGCCGGAAAAGCTCCCTGGAAACCAGTGCCCTAAGTACATTTTGCTAAATAGTCTCTGATACCATGTGAACAAGTATTGTTGTATTTCATATACTTGATGTTAAAATGCTATACAAGAAGCTATATTTATAGCTATATTTAGAGTACTAGGGTTTCCTATACAAGATATACAAATGGGCTAAGCCCAATACTACTAGGGTTTCCACATGATCCAAACATTATATAACGCATTCAAAAACTTTTTTTATCTGTAAAAGTAAAGATATATTTTTACATGTTTGCCAATTTTTTGTGTGGGGCAAATATTATACCAGGTATGGTAGCATGTTTTCATGTTTTGGATTCTGGGTATATAACTATTGAGAATCTGTATTTTCCTATTTGGTTTTCAACAAGATTATGTACAGGGTTGGTATGACACTAGATCAATTTTTTTAATAAATTCTCCAGGAAGAGGCCCTTCTAAGCCTGCTCCAAAGTTTATTGGCAACTTAATAGCAATTATTTTAAACCTGGTGAGGCTTTATTTTTCGATTTAATGAAGCAGATGGTTATGCCCGCAACTTATAAGTTCAATTCTAACAGTTCCATTCTGCTTCAGGTTGGTCCAAAGGGTCTGGAATTTGCCCGGTATTCATTGGATTACCACACCATACGAAATTATCTGCATGTAATACGCACATGGGGAAGCAAAAGGTATAAAAAAGTTAAATGTATCCCAGAGCAGGAGGGGTTGATTATATTGTTATTATGATTCTTTTTTTGCATGAGATTTTGATGAATGCAGAGCTGGGATGCACATGCCTTCATATGCAAAGAAGATCGTTGCCATGTATAACCGAAATGGTGAAATTGACCGAATGCTTGGGAAGTGATCAAGTACACCTACCTGACCTAAGTGAGAAGGGCGGGCTCATCCGCTGAAGTCATCGCTTCCCTAGCGCGGGATATGCCTTTTTGTATGTACACTTAAGAGACAATTTTGATTAAAACAATCACTGAAATAGAACATTTTGTATGCTGACATAGTCACTGTGAGAGTGTGAGGAGATTGCTTGTTGTTATATACTACATTTATTACATTTACTGTAATACTAAAAGCCGCCCAGCCACCGTAGCCACCACCTTCAGTTACCGCAACGAGCACCACCCAATACCACCAGGAAATCAAAACACACCTCAAAGGCCAAAGCACATTAGTGAATAGTGACTCTAGTACCTGGCACGTTAGTGACCACACAGTGTGACAGTGATGTTAAATTCTCCATCAAATGTGGTATATAAGATGGGAAGCTCACTCTATGCTCATCTTTATTTGAAAAACTTTCCCACGGCAAAACCTTCTCCTGCGATCGCCATATTATTAATCTTGTTGCTACTTCATTTATGACTTATGGGTGCTTGACTTGACTTGCTCACATTTTGTTCAAAAAAGTCATATTTAAGTACTTGATAGTTTTTTTTATCATATAGTACTTGATAGTTGGTAACCCTAAAAATAACATTAGTGCTATTCCAAAAAATAGGGAAATTTATTACTACCTCCATTTTTCCCCCAAGTTTGAATGACATGCTTATTAAGAAAGTGGATTAAAGTAGAAATGTATGGTTGTGGTTGTGTAAGAAAAATGTAAAATGAATATGAATCATACAAATTGTCCAAAAAGGAAAAGTGAGAAATATTTTTGGGAACGGAGGGAGTAGTTTTTTTTACATTTGTTCTACCAGCCATATAATGTAGCCTTAGTTGAGAGGTGTGGTGTTATGATTTCAACTTTTGCAAGATAGAAGTATCTAATAATATACACTACACACATCAAATAAAAGAAATACGGAGTAGTAGACATTTAAGAGTGACCAAATAATTTATTTCAATATATAGTGACTATATAATTTTCTTTGTTTCTTTCATCATATTCTTTCCGCAGATTTCTATTAGTGTCATTAATTATATACATACGGAGTAGTAGACATTCTCATTTCACATAGTATGCCAACATCCTTGACTAAGGATGTTTTCTTTTGGACTGTTTTTGATCTCAGATCAGACCAAACTAGATCAGACTTAACTTCCGTAGTTATAAAATACACAGTGACCAGACATTTACCAGACCAGTTCAGACCAGATCAGACCAGACCAGATCAGCAAATTTCTGTCCAAAAGAAAACATCTTAAGATGGGTTTCGAACCTACGATCTCCTCCTTCAAAGTGTCACAGTGATGTCATCGAATCACAAGATGCCTGACACTCATGTCAATAGTTAAATACTTAAATCACCTTTAAGAGGGACCATAGGTGTCAAAAGGAGTTGAACCAGTGTAGGCTGGCTTATTTATACTATATGTATCCGGGGTTACTCAACAGGGCAGGTCCAAGGGAGAAGCAGTGGCAGTTATATTAAAATATTGGATATACGGAGACTAGCATGAAGACAAATCCTCCCATTTCAGTCACCTTCCCTAGGATTAGACATACAATTGTATGTGCTACAAACACAACAATTCGCTAACCACTCAGCGGACAACTTGAAGCAAAATAATGTTTGCCCCATAGAACATCTACAGAACGGATGCTCCAGCTAAAAGTCCAAATGAAAAACAACCTAAAGTTCTGACTAACAAGTCCAAAACCAATGTTAAGGTTTGTTCCTTCAATCCGGGGGCCCAACATGCAACCCAAGGATTTTAAGTGGAAGAGTGTATGAAAGTATGAAGTGCAAGCAAGATGGGCTAAAATATATCTGCAGCAGCGGGTCACATCTTATTAATGATAATAATGGTCCGTATACAACGCACAAATGCTACCTGGCCTTAGGCCGATCGTCTTTCTCGCTAAGGAAGAGCTGAGCATACTGCTATAAGCTAGAGAGAATGCTAGAGTGCTAGGGCGAATAAGTTGTCAACCATTTACAATGAAATAAATGCTACTACTTATACTACCAAGGGGTAGTTAGGAGTGCTGACGTGGAGAGCTGTGGATGGTTAAGGCTCCCAACCACCAAATCTCCAGCTTTAAATATGTTTCCCGCCAGAATCTTGGTTTCCCACCCAGACTTGGGGAGGAGCCTCCCCTGGGCCTTGAACCTTCTCTTGGTGTTGGTTAGGGGCAGGGGCCAAACGTCTCCTCATGTCACCTGGCTACGGATTCTAGAGCACCCTGGGTAGCCTTGACGACTAAGGTTTCTGAGGCCGTGTGTCCGGTACATGGAACGTACATCGGGCATGCCTTGGGCTATTGTGGATAACTCCCCTGGTGGGCATTGGAGCCTGAAGACAAGCGTCTGACGCTCCTTTCCCGTTGGGCCCTGAAGCTTCTCATATAAGGGGACAATGAGCCGACCCCTGGTTGGGCCATTAACTCAACAACCAACAAAATCAAAAACAAAATTACTAGTCTGAAAAATAAAGCTAAAAGCCGAAAAAATAAACTAGAGAGCTTGTGCATTCTCTTTTCAACTTGTTGGGCGAGCTCGTTGTCCTGAACTCGCCCCCACCCCCAGATAAATGATCTGGTTTTTGGGTGTTCATTCTCTTATACCATTAAAACTTGAAAGAACAATCAATAATTTAACTAAATTTGTAAATGTATACTAAAGATGTTTTTACTTGGATTGTTTTCAGGTCTAGAACAGACTTAAACAGAACAGATCAGATCAGACTTAACCAGACCAGACCAGACTTGACTTCCGTAGTCATAAAATACACAGAGACCAGACGTTTACCAGACCGGACATACCAAACCAAACTAGACCATACTTAAACAGACTAGATCGGACTAGATCAACAAATTACGGTCCAAGTAAAAACATCCTAACATACTTTTCAAAATTCTAAGTGTTAATATGAACATTTTTGAACTAATGTGGCTCCGTCACTAGGGAGGAGAACCAATCCCATTGAACATGGCCTCAAAAAAAGGAAGGCAAAAAATAATACTCCCTCTGTCTTGTTGAAAGGGTTTTTACTTTTCTTATTTTAATGTCTCATTTAAAGGTTCTCATTTTATTTTAGTCTTTTTTAAATTAATTTACTCTCTTTAATTACACCTTTTTAAAATTAATTTACTCTCTTTAATTCTCTTTCCTACTTATAACATGTCAAGTCTCACAATTTCCCCTCTCTCAACTTATCTCCATTTAATTAATTTCACTTTATATGTTTACTTTTCTAAATTTTCCCTTTGGTTTTTTTTATTATTATCTAAATTACTCGTACTTTATTTAACTACTTACACTGTCCGACAAAAATTTTCCAACATACTATTTTGGGAAGTCTAAAAAATTCTTCTCACTTACTATTTTTGGAAAGTTTTGTGCGGCTAACATTTATTTACCTTTTTATTACTCAATCACAATAATACATTCCCACTTTATTCTAACTTCTAAAGCAAATTATCTGTAATTTATTACTATTAGGATGTTTTCTTTTGAGCGTTTTTTAGTTTCAGACCGTACCAGGCCAGACAAGACAAGACCAGACCACATTTATATAGATACACAATATACAGAGATCAGACATTTAACGTATCGATTAGACCAGATTAACAAATTTCAGTTTTTTTAAAATCTATATTGTCTTTTCAGATTTTTATCAATTCATACTAAAGACAGTTTTCGTAGTGTTTTTAACTGGAGGGTAGCGGCAGCAGTTTGGTTCCGGTCTACCCTTCCAGCACCGGCCCTGTTGCTCGAGGACGCTTTTCACCGGAGTTTTGGTCCAGGAGCCCTTCTATTCAAATTGGAGATTCTCACTCGGTAGCAGCTAAGCGGATGAATTAGTGCAGCACCGAAATTTCTACTCCAATAATCACTCACTATGAGAAAAACATTTCACATCTTTGCTGCAATCGTCAAACACCGCACTGGAAAGTCCAGTTTCCCCGCTTTACCCTCTCCATATTTCTCGAAATCGTGCCCTGTTTTCCATTCCCCTTCGGCCCCAAGATGGATATCTACAAGCACCGAACTTCCTCCGCCCGAGTGGGTGCAGCCTTTCACAGACCTCTCCGACGTTATCACCGACTACAAAAATATCCAGCCTTCTCCTTGGATGTCCCAAATTTTGAATCTTGTAGACAATTCGCCTCAGATGGAGGGAAACTTGACAGCTTACTGCAACAAGTTTCTCATCAAGCTATCACCCAATTTTGTTGCATTCGTGCTGAACTCAGACCAGCTTCCTAAAAATTCTCTTACTGCTTATCGGTTCTTCACTTGGGCTGGCAGGCAAAAAGGGTATGCCCATAGTTTTGAATGCTATGTGTATTTGATAGCTATTTTATCAGTTTGCAGTGATGCAAATAGAGTAAGAGATGTTTTTAAGGACTTCAAAGACAGTGATTTTAAGATGAACTTGTCTGGGGCTAATTCGTTGGTCAGGAGTCTTGGAAGTGTGGGGATGGTTGAGGAGGTTTTGTGGGTATGGAGAGGCTTGAAAGAGTGTGGGATTCAACCTACATTGTATACTTATAATTTTCTACTGAATGGTTTAGTGAATGCTATGTTTATTGAGTCTGCTGAGCAAGTTTTTGAAGTTATGGAAAGTGGGAAAATTCAACCCGATATTGTCACATATAATACAATGATCAAAGGGTATTGCAAGACCGGCAAGGTGCAAAAAGCAATGGAGAAGTTTAGAGACATGGAGGTTAAAAATGTGGTACCTGATAAAATTACTTATATGACCCTCATCCAGGCAAGCTATTCTGAGAGAGATCATAACATGTGCCTGGGGCTTTATCATGAAATGGTGGAAAAGGAGCTGGAAGTTCCATCACATGCTTATAGTTTAGTAATTGGTGGGCTTTGTAGAGATGGTAAGTCTCTGGAAGCACATGCCGTTTTGGATAACATGGTTAGGAAGGGTTGTAGACCTAATCCTGCAATTTATACGGCCTTGATTGATTCATACATGAAAAATTCTTACTTGGAAGCTGCAATAAGGCTTTTTGATAGAATGAAGGATGAAGGGATTGAACCCGATGAATTTACATATGGGGTTATTGTAAATGGTCTGTCCAAGTGTGGTAGATTGGAAGAAGCCTTACAATGGCTTGAGTATTGTCAGAATAATAATAAGGGTATAAATGCCAAGCTTTATTCAAGTCTAATTGATGGTCTTGGGAAGGCGGGGAGAGTGGATGAGGCTAAAAAGCTCTTTGAGGAGATGGCTGAAAAGGGGTGCCCTCGTGATTCTTACTGTTATAATGCACTAATAGATGCCCTAGCTAAAGATGGAAAGGTGGACGAATCTTTGATGCTTTTCAATAGAATGGAACAAGAAGGTTGTGATCAAACTGTCTATACATACACAATGTTGATCAGTGGTCTGTTTCGTGACCACCGCAATGAAGAGGCATTGAAACTGTGGAATAAGATGATTGACAAGGGCATAACTCCAACAGCTGCTTCATTTAGAGCTCTTTCAACTGGGCTTTGTCTTTCGGGTAAGGTGGCAAGGGCTTGTAAGATTTTGGATGAGCTGGCACCGATGGGTATTGTTCTAGATACTGCTTTTGAAGACATGGTTAATGTTCTGTGCAAGGCGGGCCGTCTTGTGGAGGCTTGCAAGTTAGCTGATGGAATTGTTGACCGTGGTAGGGAAATTCCGGGCAGGGTTCGTACGGTTTTTATAACTGCCCTAAGGAAAGCTGGGAATGCAGATTTAGCTATAAAATTGATGCATAGTAAAATTGGGATTGGATATGAGAGGGTGGGCAGTGTTAAAAAACGCGTGAAGTTTCGTCTTCTGGTAGACAAGTGAGAGCCTACATCAATGATGCTTGTGGTAATCCATGACCTCTCATGGTTTAAGATTGTTCACTTTTGGGACAGTGGGCTGGGCATTGATATGATGGAAGGTGTCAAACTACTTCCATCACTCAAAAGGTTGAGAATTTGTCATGGATACGTGGGTATGAATCCATTCATGGATTATGGCGTACTCTGATATATCAATTGCTTTTTGCAAAATTTGGATGTAATAATGCTCCATACTCTGATATATCATAATTTAGTATTAATTTGCTGACCCTATTAGTCTTTCTTTTTCACTACTGGAGCGGGTCAGATTGTGGTTGAATGGATGGGAGTTGATGGAAACCTCCTTTCACCATCCTACCAATCTGATATATCATGGAAACAGCTGGTTGCACACTTTTTCTAGTGCATTCATCATCACATTCCTCTCGATATTGGTGTGACTATCCTTGCCATCACTTGTTCTATTGCGTGATACGCTTTGATCTCCCGCCATACTTTGTGTGATTACCTGATGCCTTATCATGATGACTTATGGTGATGAGCTAGCATTCCTCTAGACACTCATGGTGAGCTCGTGAGTGCGCCACACCAAATTTATTTTAGAACTAATCTCATGGAGGTAATGCTGTCATTATTTTACAGAATTGAGACTAAGGATTTGGACTATATGAATTGTGTTGATTTTTATTACACCATGTTTTTATGGTTGATATAATTATATTTTTGACTTTTATCTCTTTTAAAACATACAGTTTAATGATTACTAGTATATATTTATAACCTTGTGGAGGGAGTATAGTAATAAGACTAATAACTGTAAGCCCCATAAGAAACTTCACAATAGTGCATAGATGCTTGTATCTTCACAAATGAGAAAAATGATGCTTTGAGCCCTTCATCTGTTTTTTTTTTGAAGATAAATAGTGCATAGACCTATGGACTTATTTCATGTTCTAGACTACTGTCCCAGGAGAATGTTGATATTATTATTACTTATTAGACGTGCATCTGGAGATCTTGGCTTAAGTGAAGGAAAACCCGTTGCAGCATTTACAATATACAAATGCCTTCTTCATTGGAAATCCTTTGAAGCAGAGAAAACTAATATATTTGACTGCCTTATCCAGATGATTGGTGCTGCTATAGAGGTGATTGACCATATCTTAGTCCGCATCTTGGGAGCTTACAACTATTAATTTTAAGTGTTTCCTGTCTTAGAATCATCAATTAGTTTAACTGTTCAAGTCTTAAAGTCTATTATCCTTGGGAAATAAGAAGTCCGTGGATGTTCTTACGTCTTGACAAGAAGCCACCTCCAAAAAAATTGCAGTTACAACATGAATATGCTTTTAATACACTTTTTTTCCTAACATCATTGACAGGATGAGTCAGAAAATGGTCACATAGCATATTGGCTGTCAAACACATCTATGCTGTTGTTGAAGAGTTGTGTGGAGCACTGGTCGTGGGTGAGAGTTATTCATAGCCAACCGACTCAATGGCAACTCATTTGGAAGAGGAGGATGAACTGCTGCTAGAAATGATGGAGATCAAAGACAGAGGCATGAGTGTTAATTAAATTGAATTACAAATACTACATTAGAAATTCATTATATGTGTGGCAATTGGAGTTTCTGGGATCCCGGAACTTGATGAGATGTGTTTTCGATGAAGATGGCTATGCCACATTTACCAATTACTACTACAAAAGTCTTCCTACGAAAGTGAGAAATTGATCGTTCCGACGACAGTCTTCTTCTTCTTCTTCATCCCAGTCGCTACTTCATCGTCCCTGAACTCGCCACCACACAACCTCTCCAGTCTCCTGACCACATTGTTGTTGGCGAAGACTGTCTTCGTTCTGCTCTCTCCCTCCTCACATTGCTTCACTAAAACCATTCTAAATTTCTAACCATGCGGCCATGAAAAGAGATGAATGCAAATTGTTGAGTGCCAACGAGTCTTTTTAACTAACTTTTTTCCATCTTTAAACACCCTTTAAAGTTTGTAAGATTTACATAACAACTTTGCTATTTGTATCCACTCTTATACCCACTCATAACCCACCCTTGTGAGAGACTATTTTTTTTTTGTCACAGATAAATTCATAAAACATACGTGTTTTTGTCTATAAAAATGTTCACAAAATTTTTTGTTTTGTCTGTGAACGGGATTGTTACACAAAAAATTAGGAGTGGGCATAAAAACTGAGTCGAACCGGTACCGAACCGGCCCGTAATGGTACCGAACCGAATATCGGGTATTTAAAAGGTTCTATAGAATTTAATCTCGAACTGAAACCGTACTGTTTCAAATGGGTATGGGACCGGTCCTAGATTTTGAGAACCGAAAAATACCGGACCGAACCGTTCAAAAATATTTATGACTTTGAGATTTTTATATTTTTCAATACCCATAAATATCTTTTATAGACCAACAAGTTTATAGTCCTGGTATTTATTCATGCATCCCTAAAATAGATACATGTGTGTGTTATATGAATATTATTAGTTTTTCCTTTTAAATAATTTATGTTATATTTGGTATATATTTAATGAAAGAATGCTAAAGTTTTAAAAATCATTAATGACTATTAATTTATAGTAATGTAGAGTATATGACATTTTGTTGTGTCATAAAGTTTTGTATCTAGTCTGAATCTTAACTCTAACGGTTGAACTATGAATTAAACTAGAACCAATATTCAACTTAGAACTAAGAAGAAGAATGTTAAATTTTTCTATTATTTTTAACAATTTAATGATATTCCTTTTATATTTCACATGAGTTTAATAAGGATGATATTATACCAGTGTATCATTGTTTTGATATATTTTTATCGGTGGGCGTAGCTCAACTGGTAGCAAGGGAGTGCCACAAGAGTTAGGTCTCGGGTTCGAATCCCGGCAACTGCGATGAGGGGTTACTATGCTGAAAAATGCATAGGGTCTCTGCAAGTACCGGGGACAGAGCCCCACTCTCTATCTGTCAGATTGTGATTATAGTCCAATTTACATCCTCCCATCGTGTCGTCCGGTCGGTGTTGGGGGGCCCTCAGGGATGAGGTGTCATCCTTTTTTTTGGATATATTTTTACTTAATTGTGTTGCACTATTTAAGTATTTGTGAATTTAAATACAACAATGTCAACCTCTTGAATCTTTTCTACTATTTAGTATGCATTTTCTTGTATTTTTATCAACATTTCATGTGAATTAACTGGTGTGATTATATATACTAATTGCAAGATTTGTCCAAATTTTTCGGCATGTGTTTAGCATTGTACCGAACCGTTTCGTACCGTTCCGAAACGACATGGTACCGAATGGTTCCAACCTTAGAACCGGACCGTACCGAACCGTTAGAAATCTCACGGGTACATTACGGGTTTTGCTAAATTACCGGACCGTTCCGAACCGCGCCCACCCCTACAAAAAATAGCCTTTCACAAGAGTGTGTATAAGGGGCAAGTACAAATAGATTTTTTCTTTGCATAAAGCCATTAATGACAAGCTTGTTGTCTGAGTTAATCCACTGGGCTACAAAAGTTCTCAGGCTTACTCACTTTTCAGTTTAATTGGTACTTTACACCAGTTCTTTTCTCTCTCTTTAGTCTAGCCGCAACTCTCCCGGTTAGGCATGGCCTCGGGCCGGTTCGGGCCTGGGCCCGGCAGGTTCACGGTTCAGGAATGGGAGGCCCGGAACCGGCCCGGGTAACCCCCGGGTCCGGTTCGGGTCGGGCCTCGGTCCGATCCAATCTTTTTTTTTTGGCTTCTCCTAATTAACTCCCAACCCTCCCCCCTCACCCCCAAACCACCCCAAATGGCCCAAAATACCCAGCCCAACCCAAAAACTTAAAAAAAAATCAAAAAAAAAAAAATAAATTTGGCCCGGACCGGGCCCAAACCGGCCGGGCTGGTTCACCATTCCTAGGGCCCGAGCCCGAACCATATGACAAGCAGGCCGGGTCGACCTGAACCGCCCTATGGCCCGGTTCCCGGGCCGGGCCGGTTCAAACAGTGCCCGGTCCGGGCCGGTTCCGGGACGGGCCGCCCGGCCCGAGTCCATGCCTACTCCCGGTCAATAAATAATCTCCATCATTTTATACATATTAACTCTAACAATTCAATTTTTTTTGCAATAAGTACCATCGATACATTCACATAGCAATTTTTTTTAAAATTAAAGTCTTTCTTTTATTACGTAGTATTATACATCAACTTTTGCCTATATGTTTTGTGAATCGCTATGATTTAAATAGTCAAACACTGTGGTGTAAAAATAAATAAATTTGGAGTTTTTTTTGCTACTTCAGACCATTTTTTTAAGAAAGTAACCAAAAGTTGTAAAAAATATTATATAAAACGACTTGCATCTACTTAAGAAAATATGTTGAATCTAAAAATCTTCATAAGATAAAAGTTCATATTTTTCTTAAAAATGTATATATGTAATATTGGTGTAATGTGAAAGATTATAAAAAACTTAAGGAGTAAGAATTTTGATATGTATATTTTTTGTAAAAATTGGATTACAATTAATAAAGTTATACTCTATTAATTTAAATAAAATTTAGATTTTTGTTTTATGTGGAGACAGCTATCCTTTTCTTACCTACGCACAACAAACGTAGCTCAATTCTTCTCTCCATTCGGGTGAATGCAGCCTCTTAATACCCACCCCAAAGGTTCCTCACTCACTTTAACATCTACATATATATTTTTTGTGTGGGTTGTACTACCTCGTCCCTCTACGATTGGGACAATTCGGTATTTCGGTTTATAATGTTTGACCAACGATAAAACAAACAGATCTTTGTCAGCTCTCAAATTATTTTTAAGAAAAAAAATTACATACTCAGAAATTAAATTAAAACTTTACAAAGTCGCAAAAACTAGAATTAAATTTGATTAAAATTTGATATATAAAGTAAGAGATTAAGAGTGATTTATGTTGATCAAGTAAATAGTGTCTGAGATAATCTTAGCGGGACGGAGGGAGTAACTCATTTGGGGTGAAAATCTCAAATTTGGAGTTTTCACCTCTCCCACTGTAGACAACCTTACAGGGGAGATTTCAAATATAAAGATGCATTCCTAGGGGTGGTTCGGTAACGGTACGATATTGGTAAATTACCATGCATGTCCTCCAATACAACAAATTATCACAGACTAACAACATATAACAAATCGGTGTTACTAGCGACATATTTAATCCATTATTAAAATGTTACAAAATACAATTAATAATCTATTGATGTCATATTCAATATTGAACAATAATTATTAGTATATTTAAACAGTTCAACATGTCACATATTAAATAACTTCAACAATATAAATATAATTTTTTGAATAGTGATCTCTAACAAAAATAAATAAAATTGTTCAAACAACATGGATATAAATTCATTTATCCCTAACAACATATAATAAATCGGTGTTACTAGCGACATATTTAATCCATTATTAAAATATTACAAAATACAATTAATAATCTATTGATGTCATATTCAATATTGAACAATAATTATTAGTATATTTAAGCAGTTCAACATGACACGTATTAAAAAATAACACATTCTCCTATAATAACTTGAACAATACAAATATAATTTTATTAATAGTGTTCTCTAACAAAAATAAATAAAAATTTTCAAACAACATGGATATAAAATCATTTATCCCTAATATCATATTGGGTATTTAGTAATTTTTATAATTTAAAAAAAATAATAGAATAAGACTTTAGGACAAATGTGTGTGTGTCTTGACTCGCGGAATCCCTATGTAGATACACTCGTCACATAAGTGTATCCATCTTCACTCTTCAGCTATCAACGGCTCACCCATCGCGACTCGCAAACTTATGAAACAAGATGGACTGGTCTGGACATTAGTACATTACTCATTAGTCATTAGAGTTAGTTTATTTCAATGCTACGTAGTAGAATCCTAGAAGGCTATAATGGGTTTGGAAAATTGAGTCTTTATTTTAGTATTTTAGTATTTGTAACCAACATAAGTATTAATTTTGGGCTTCAAACATGTAATGGACTTTTACAATATTTTAGAATTTATAGTAATTGTTGGGTAGGAAGTCGGTCTGGTATTATACTGGTATACCGCAGTATTTGAAAGCATTTATCGTTACCATACCGAAATATATCGGTACGGCATGATACCGTACTGAAAATGACGGCATACCCATATTCCGGTATTTTCCGGTATTTTTCGGTACGGTAAGTGCGATATACCTATTTTTCGGTATTTTTGCCCACCCCGCATTCCCATGCGTAGTGCAAACGGAAACGGATACACTTTTTGCTCAATGCGTCATACTACTATACTACCCATGTCCCGTTGGAAGGTTCCCGTGAGTAAATAGCACATTTTTTAGGCAAATGATTCAATAAAGTAATTTGGGTAAAAAAGGAAATAGAAAATTTGAAAAAAGTAAACATATGAAGTGAAAATAATTATAGGGTGATAATTTGGGGGAGGAGAAAATTGTGTGACTAGACATGTAATGACTAATGAGTAGGAAAACGAAATTTGAATAAAAGTGTAATTAAAGAAGGTAATTATTTTCACTTTAAATGAGACATCTAAATAAAGAAAATGAGAAATTTTTAACGGGACTAAACGAGTATGTTTCTATTGCACTTTTTCCCGGTAACAAAAAATTTCGTTTATTTATAAAACTACATCGTTTTTCATCAAATCTAATCCATTGTTAATTTATTTTGATTTTGAGCCACTAAATATGACATTAAATACTTCCTCCGTTCTCCATTAGTTGTCCTTATAGGGTTTGGCACAAGTTTTAAAAGAAAAGTAATAAGGATAGTGTAAAAGGTGTAGTAGTTGTGTTTAAATGAAAAAGTAGGAAAGTGAATGAGTGTAAATGAGTATATTTATTGAATAAACTTTCCAAAAATGAAAGAGAGACAAATATTAGAAAACAACCCAAAATGAAAAGAGGGACAAGTATTAAAGAACAGATGGATGGAGTACAGTACAGCTGTACAGAAGATTTAATTTCACCAAAATGCCTCTTTATTTTATTTTCTTTTGAGCAGAAAATGCCTCTTTAAGATCACCCAAATTTACTC